TCAATTTAAATATTATTAGAAATTTCATTCTTTAAAGGTTAAAATCTAAAATTAAATAAATATAAATTATATCTATTCATATATCTAAAATGATTTTTCGAATTAAACGCTCAAAACTCTCAAAATAAAACTGCTATATACGACTCTCAAAACCCTCAAAAATAAACTTGTTGGGACTCTCGAAACCCTCAAAACTCCAAACTCTCAAAACTCAAAACTAGAATTGCATCGCCTTGGCATTCTGTTGATTCAACTGCATGCCAGTTTGGCGGACCACGCCTGGTCACTTTGACCTGCGTCATAATGCTGTGATACAGCGGAATAGGAAGCATTCAACCTATTCAACAAAGTGTTCGCCAGTCACAGACCTTGTGCATGGATCAGCAGGGCCCTATATGCCCTATATATAAGCTTTTTTTCCACGCGTCGTGTCTCTGAGATCGTTTTGCACAAAACTTGAAACCTAGTCTTCCACTTTAAATACGTGGACCATAGGTTCTTCGCACAGCATGCACCAAACCAGGACAAATAGATAACCCGGGGCAGGCGTCAATGTGTGCAACACTTTGTACCATTCCACTCCATGGAACTTCATCATTGTTTCATTCTTGAGCACGCACTGGTACAGAACATCTTCAGGTGATCTTTGGCGTAAATCTTCCCACTCCGGCAGTGGGCAAGTCTCGATGTCGTTCGGGTCTGTCTCGATCGTCTCAAAAGAGAAATGCTTGATCGACGGCATAGCTCAAATCAAAACAGAGACGCTGGCAAAAGAAATAGAATCTAGCTATAATGCCAAACAGCTGCTTGATATATGATATTGAACAGTCGTCCATCTTTCCAAAACTGCGCGCAAGCAGCAAATATGTTAAGGTAAGAACTAAGCTGAAGAACTCTCTTGACTCTCAAAAAACTCTCCAGTTGCACACCAGACTAATTTTCACCCCTCAGCTCGCGCGACCGTGCTCCAATTGCAATCCTAAGCGGTACTTGGTCATGGTTTTGGTGATACTGGCGAGAGGCTTGGCCCCTTGAACGCATTTTTGGACTAAACTCTTCACCTTACCCATGAGGTCTTCCTGTTGCATACAACTTCCCATTGCGGGATTTACATCACAAGACCTCTGAGCTAAATGGTACAAGTCGTGAAATTTTTTTGTCATGGCAAAATAATTGCCATGCGTCGAAAATTCGTCCTTGAGAGCCTGGTACAGGCAAATAAATTCCAAAGCAGTTTTCTCCAATGCGCCAGCAGCCTTAGTTTGGCAAGACTGGAGGGTTTCAAGAGATTGTGGAATTTGGAGATGGATTGAAAATTATTGGAGAGATCGTTGGTTTGGAAGAGATTGAACTGTTTGCATAGATTTGGAGAGTTGAGAGTGTAGCTTTGAGAGTTTGGAGTGTTTACATAGGTTTTGAGAGCTAGCTGAGAGAGTCTAGCTTTGAGAGTTTAACTTGTTCAAATAGGTTTGGAGAGTTGAGAGAGTCTAGCTTTGATAGTTTGGAGAGTGCAGGTGTCTTCCATATTTATATATATATATATATTGTGTGTGTGTCATTATAGACAACGTTCACCCGGCAAAAGTTTTACATATGCTATATGCCGACCTAGGCACGTCAGGGGGTAAACAAGGGACATCTGGGTGACCTTGCACGATTTCGTCATACTCATGTGATCTTTGCAGTACCATCTTCAAAAGGTGGTCACCTCGAGCGTTAGATTTCACAACGCACCACAAAGCCAAGATTGGCTCAGTCATACTTCGGATTTGAGCTGCCTTCCCTTTCAGCTGTGGAAAGTTTTTGCCTTCAGGGATGAACTTTTTCTTGGTCAAGCTGTTAATGTACGACGACAAACTCGTGGGCGCATGCCTGAGAATCAAGGCAAGTCTAAATTATTTCTTAATTTATTGAGTTTAAATGGAATTGTTATTTATTACCACTCAAAATCCGCATATATATATATCCAAAGTACCGTGACAGCTCCAGATGCAATGCATCAACATCGCTGTTGAACTTAAACTTCAGCATGACAGCCATGGCGCTCCCCAGAAGGTAGGTGTCCACGCCCAGCCACTTCGTATGCATTATGTCTGGGGTTACGGTCAACCCGGACACGCCGGGAACAGTAAAAAGCTTCATGAGCTTTGGTCCGTCAAACCGTAGTCTCCACTCTGCAGCATTGTGCAAGACCGGCTTGCGTCTCTTGGTGATTGAAAACAAATTCTCACGTGTTGCTGGGCAAAGTTGGCAAGGCTCTAACGCATTGTGAGCAGGCAACCCAAGCCAAGTGGGGTGCCACGCGAGGTCCGCTTGAATTTGCCAAACCGACCCAAAGTAGCCGCCTGCATGTTCAAGTAGCAAGTTAATCCCTACCGTCTTTAAATACTTGTGGTGTGCGAAACTGAAAATGAGCACCTGCAAGCAAGGAATTTAAAGTTTGCGCCTGCCAACGGTTGGCCGGCTTTCTGATCCAAAATGTCTTCCCCAAGCCAATTTGTCGAAGGCCATTTGCCTGAAATGTTCAAGTTGTTCATTGATACACCTCCCAAAAGCTTCGGATAACATAATGATTGGACACCAAGTGCAAACTCTCCAAAGAATTGCTATATACATCCCTCTCACAACTGTCTTGGTATAGGTTTACTATAGCTCTCCAAATAACGTTTTATATGCATGCTTGGTATCCATTAATCTCTCAAAAGACACTATACAACTGGTAATTTCCTAACTCTCAAAGCTCTCTCAAACGTAGCCGTACGGCCGAAACAAATTTGATCCAACCTTCCCATATGATCTTCAAAGACCAGGCAATCGCGTTCCAGTATTCTGCAACAGTCTTGAACTTTTCCATCAAGTGGTTCCAACAAAGCGCTGCCACGAAGTTGCTGAATTTGGAATCAATGGCCTTGCATATGGGCTCGGAGTCCTTTTTGTCAACAAATGCTATTGTGCAACATACTAACATGATCTGAGGCACATCTTCCATGAGCAAGGACCTCCAAGAAATTATTTCCATACTGCGCGAGTGCGCAGATCCAATGCTCACGCACGGCACCCCATCTCCGTGAAGCGAGAGAGGTATGCCTAGACAATAGGCAGTATGCGCTCAAAACTCACGGCGTTCAAGTTGAAATGATATGTGATTCACATAAGTCTGAAAATTTCTACAGTGTTCAAAGTGTATAAGATGATTCATGCCTCAAAATCTATACGACCATCATTACTCTCAAACTCCTATGCATGGAGTTTCCAGGTTTACATGATTCCGTTCTCAGATCCTCAGATCTCTATGCGTAGCTCTATGCCTTGACAACTCTCAAAAATCTATGCCCTCACAACTCTCAAAGCTCTATGCCCTCACAACTCTCAAAAATCTATGCCCTCACAACTCTCAAAGCTCTATGCCCTCACAACTCTCAAAGCTCTATGCCCTCACAACTCTCAAAAATCTATGCCCTCACAACTCTCAAAGCTCTATGCCCTCACACTCTCAAAAATCCTACTGTGTTTTCAGGTTCAACAACACAGCTACTCTCTCATATATGCCCTCGCAACTCTCATAAATCCTACGGTGTTCACGTTAAACTACAAGTATATGGTCGTCACGTCACTGCATGGTAGATCGACGTGGAAAAATTAAAGCCTAACGACCAGGAATGAAACAAAAATATGCCAATCATATTTCGGCTGCACATGGATAGGTCTCTCGACTCCTCACTGAGCGGGTGGTCCTTAAAGTTTTTTGTCCGCTCCACAGCATGCCAAAAAGTAGCAGCGTGCGCGCGACTTGGAAGTAGAGACTTTTGAAACGCCGATGGGTAAGAATGAAAAAGTGCCGAGAAGACCTCGTGCGGGAACATAATTGGCACCAAAGCAGTCTTCTTCTTCTTTCCAAATACAAGCGGCACTGTGATATATTTTGGCACAGGAAAATTGTTTGCCCCAAACAATCTTTGAAGATCTCTCCAGCAGTTGTTGACATATCTACCATTGCTGCCTAAAGCGGCAAACTTGGCGATCTCTTGCGGGGCAGCAACTCCAGCTTCTTGAAAATCCAACGATACGAGTTGACAAATCTGCTGGCATTGATGGGCACTGAGCCCCCCCCAGGCTACTTGAGTAAGCAACCAATTACCCAAGTGGGTGCTGGAAGGCATGTCGCCATGAGTTGCATCGTCTCTGGCTCGTTTTCTGCCAATAAAACCCATAGCTTGCAAAGGCCAAGCTATCCGCGGTTCACAAAGCAATCTCCGCGCATGAAGCAAACATGCAAAGCATGCTAAATGTGAAGTTTCACACTGTTTTGGAAAGTATCTTTTGAGTGAAATGAGAGTCGTGGTGATCATGTCTTTTGAGTGAAATGACAGTCTTGACAAAGTGTCTTGAAAGTCCATTGAAAGTGATTTGAGAATCTTGAAAAAATGGGCGGGTATCCGAAACAAACCATGTCCATTATTGTGTGGATGCGTCATGGGTTCTACCTCGTGGCACAGACCATGCATCCACCGGTAAATTCCTGCTGCCTATATGTTCAAATTATCCAAGTTCTCAGGAACATAATGAAGCTCTACAATGCGATGAAGTCGAAAAGCATGAGGCAGACATTTAGTTTCAAACTGGAGCGTAGAAAACGCTAGCATACTTTGGCGAAGCTTTTAATCAAGTCACAGCCGCCCAAGAATGAGCGGCGTCTGTACAAATCCCCAGAAGTCTTGACGCAGCCTTTTTCTCATCGATCAAAAATCGTCACTCTCCAGCGGCACGGCTGAACTCGAGTCCATCTCAGGATCTCCTAGCAAGAAGTTCAACATTTGCTTTGCTGATTTTAAGTTTTCGGGTTACTTTCGGGGCATGTTCACCCTATGGTCTCGTCATGCGCGCCGTGTCTGGCAGTATCTCTTCAAGCTCCGGCCACTTCTTGAAACTCTTAAGCATACCCTTGCCATGAACCAACATCAGCAAACATGAACAAAACATAACAAAACAGTTTAGGGTCATCAGCGGGCAAGAGATTTGCCGACTTGAATCGCTTCATACAATTCCTTCAACTGATCGAACGCCTGTTGCAGCATCGCCTTGGCATTCTGTTGATTCAACTGCATGCCTGGCGGACCACGCCTGGTCACTTTGACCTGCGTCATAATGCTGTGACTGCGCTGTACAGCGGAATAGGAGGCATTCAACCTATTCAACAAATCGTTCGCCAGTCGCGAGCCGCTTGACGCTTTCCGCGTCAAATTTTGAATCACCGAGGCCGACTCATTCAAACTCTGTGAGGCAACACTCAGCGCCTCTGGGTACTAGAGCAAACAAGTTCATATGATGTTTAGCATTAAAGCAAATGGAAGACAAGAATAATAATCGTTCTCCAAAGTCTATCCAAGTTCTAAAGTGTCATGCCTTTGCCCTCCAACCTCTCGGGACCAACACACGCCAGTGCATCAAAACGCACTGCATCAAAACATAGCTAGGTTGGTTACCTAATTCTCACAACTCTCGAAAGATATTCCATTGATTTCTGTACCCTAAATCTCTCGAAAGTATGAACTGCATCATGTCCTCACTCTCAAAACCCTCACAACCCTCACAAATTCGATCACAACCCTTAAAATTCTTTCACAGCCTCATATTCCTAATTCTCACAACTCTCGAAAGATATTCCATTGATTTCTGTACCCTAAATGGCTCGAAAGTATGAACTTCTCTCAAAACCCTCACAACCCTTAAAATTCTCTCAAAATACTCTGAAAATCTTTTTAAATTCTCTCACAACCCTCAAAATCCTCTCAAAACCATCGCAAGACCTCTCAAAAACCATCAAACATGTATCTATAAAGTCTCAAGTTTAGTGCCTCTTAGGCATGTCCTAACTCTCCATACTATCCTGCAAATTCACTCAAGGCTCTCAAAACTACTAACCTATATTGTTCCTGGGTTATATCGCTCCCAAAATATCCAACGCAGGCGCCTGGCCTCGTCCAGCTTTTGCCACAGCTGTTGCGGCAACTCTTCAGAAAGGGTAGGAAATTGTTTGGGGATTTTTTTTTTTTAGTTTGGGGAATTTTTTTTGGATTTCCGGTTCTCACCATTTTCCATGCTATTTGCAGCATTTTGGAGCTGGAAACTGCCATTTCCACGGTATGTGCAACGGTTTTGAGTTCGAACCTCTCATTTTCCATTGTATTTTCCACGGTATTTGCAACAGTTTGCAGCATGTTCTGTCCATTTTCCATGCTCTTTGCAGCATTTTTGAGCTGGAATCTGCATTTCCACCGTATGTGCAACATTTTACAGCTACATTCCTCACAGTACTTGCAGGATTTTGGAGCTGAAGGCTGACATTCCAACAGTTGTTTGTTGTTACTGTTACTGTTGTTGGTGTTGGTGTTGGTGGTGTTGTTGTTGTTGGTGTTGTTGTTGTTGTTACCGTTGGTGTTGTTAGTGTTGTTAGTGTTGCTAGCGTTAGTGTTGTTAGTGTTGTTAGTGTTGTTATATATATATATACAATATATATATATATATACAATATATATATACAATAGATATATATACAATATATATATATACAATATATATATACAATATATATATATACAATATATATATACAATATATATATATACAATATATATATATATACAATATATATATATATTTACAATATATATATATATACAATGTATATATATATATTCTAACCAAAGTAGTGTATTGAAATGTGTGCAAGCTTGAATTTAAATAAAAAAAAGCGGGAGGGGGGGATTGGGGGGGACGGCGCAGCGCCTCCCCCCCAAAGCAGATTGGAAACACCTATTTTCACATGCAAGGTGCTAGGTTGAATGTGATACTCAAGGTGTATATACTACACGACATGCACCTTGGAAACATGTGGAATGTAGGTTAAGGCACAACGATGCACAATAGTTTCATTTGATGTTATCATCGAGTTGGTTTAAGATCTATTTATATAAGGTTTGGTTCAGGGTTGGCTTGGGGTTTGAATATCATCCGCATGATAATGCAAACCTTTTAGGTAGATATATATATATATACAGATATATATATATATATAGATATATAGATAAATAGATACATATATATTTAAAGATATATAGATATAAAGATATATGTATATATACATATAGAAATAAAGATAGATATATACAGATATATAGATATATGGTGGTATATAAATATATATATATAGAGAGAGAGAGATATAGATATATAGAGAGAGATATATATATATATAGATATATAGATATATAGTATATATATATAGAGAGAGATATAGATATATAGATATATAGATAGATATGTATAGATAGATAGATAGATAGATAGATAGATAGATAGATAGATAGATAGGTAGATAGATAGATAGATAGATAGATAATTAGATAGATAGATAGATAGGTAGATAGATATATAGATAGATAGATATATATGTATATAGATATCTAGATATAGATATATATAGAGATATATAGAAATATATAGAGATATATAGATATATTTATAGATTTGTAGATATATATATATATAGAGAGATATATATATATATAGATATATATATATAGATATATATAGATATATAGATAATTATATAGATATATGATATATATATATAGGTATATAGATATATAGATACAGCCATAGATGTAGATATAGATACAGATATAGATAGACATAGATAGATATAGATACGTAGATATAGATAGATATAGATAGATATAGATGGATATAGATGGATATAGATGGATATAGATGGATAGAAGATGTTGCTCCACACCTCATGGAAAAGCAAAAAAGCAAAGAAAAGCAAAAAAGCAAAAAAGCAAAAAAGCAAGAAAAGCAAAAAAGCAAAGAAAAGCAGAAAAGCGAGAAAAGCAAAAAAGCAAAGAAAAGCAAGGAAAGCAAAAAAGCAAAAAAGCAAAGAAAAGCAAGAAAAGCAAAAAAGCAAAGAAAAGCAGAAAAGCGAGAAAAGCAAAAAAGCAAAAAAGCAAAAAAGCAAAGAAAAGCAAGGGAAGCAAAAAAGCAAAAAAAGCAAAGAAAAGCAAAAAAAACAAAAAAAGGAATAGAAGCAAAGAAGCAGAGAAGCACTGCAGGAGGCAATAGAGTAAGCAGGAAGAAATCCAAAAAAAAATCCCTAAACTAAAAAAAAATCCCTAAATAAATGGCCCTCCCTTCAGAAATCAAGCCCATGCATCCACCCGTTGGCGATCCATCCCCGATCATTGGAAGTGACTGGTTTCCAAAAGGTGCCTGTGGCTGGGAAATACCACCAAAGCCCAAAGCTGGCTGCTGGAACGTCGGAAGGCCCGAACCCATAGCCGTGAGAGAAGCACCCTGAGGCTGCAAGCTGGAAAAATCCAACGCAGCCCACAGCCCATCAAACACACCCGAACCGATGCCCGTAGAACCGGTCCCAATGGTAGTGGCATGATCCATCTCAACACCTTTACTGACAACCTCCTCCTCCCACTGGTAAAGAGTTTTCCCAGTGGTACTGCTTTTGATCTCACGGATCTCACCGTTCTGCAGGGCCACCTTCAAGGCGTCAAGGCTCCCGCACTTTTGGATGGCCCTGAAACGAGGCACCGCACGGTTCAGGTTGCCGTAGTGTTCCTTGTCATGCCTTCATGGGTCATTAAATGTCACCACTGAACATCACCCAACCATGAGGTATCTCATCTGTAATTGCCATTCAAAGGTGATGTCCAATAGCCCCAAAATGGTACATTTACCAATCCTTGCCTTCGGCGGCTCTTCTCAATCGAAGAGTTATCGAGCACGAACGTCCATTTTCCTTCGACCTTGCGCATCCGGGACATGAGCCATTGGGTCACTTCCACCCGCTTCACGGATTTGTTGACCCGCTGCCACTCTTCCTTCACGTGCGCAGGCAAGCCAGGGAACAACCGCTTAAACGCCATTGCGGCGACTCGGTTTCTCTTGGTTTCTTGCTCCTCGTCCCCTGGCTCTGCGTCACTGGCCTGAAATAGAAACATCTCTCTATATCTCTCTTTATCTAATAGCAGGGAGCATGTGAAATATTATATAGCCTAAAACCAGAACCTGCCTGACAGTCATCTTCATCGTCATCACTGCCTTCTTCTGTGTCTTCTTCTTCTGAATCGTTCTTCACCTTTTTTGGCTCATCCTCTTCGTCCTCAACCTTCCAATTCTTGAAGAAATCGGCCGCCTTCACTTTCTTCTTAGGCTGTGCCTTGGCTTCTGCCTGTGGCTTCTCTGGCTTGTCGTCTTTGGCAGACTTCTTCTCGTTCTTCTGCTTAGGCTGCTTATTCTTCTTGGACTTTGCGCTGCTCTTTGCAGCCTTCTCCTTCGGGGCTTTGTCCTTGGCCTGAACCTTCTCTGCGCCATTCTCTTTGTCAGTCTTCTCTTTGTTTTCCTTCTTCTCCTTCTTCTCATTCTTATCCTTCTTATCCTTCTTATCCTTCTTGTCTGTAGTTTCAGGCTGCTTCTTCTTATTCTCTGCCTTGGTTTTCTCCTCTGGTTGTCCAGCAGCCCCAGCATTGTCTTCCTTGTCATCCTTCTTACTTTTCTTTTTCTTTGCGGCTGACTTTTCTACCTCTGGAACCTCTGCCTTGCTTGTCCTTCTGCGCTTGTTTGGGCTGGCTTCTGCCAGTTCTTCCTTGACTCTCGGGCTCGGCTCTGACGCACACTCCTCCTCACCCTCTGCCTCACCCTCTGCCTCATCCTCGGCCTCATCCTCTGCATCCACCTGCTGCTCGTCATCAACCTGCGCAGGTTTACGCTTACCCGTTTGCTTTGCAGCCATTTTGGCTGCAGCCTTTTTGGCTGCAGCCTTTTTGGCTGCAGTCTTGGGCTTGGGCTTCGCCTTGGCAGCCTTGGAATTGGTCGGCGCTTTTGTCTTGGGCGAAGCTTTTGCTTTTCCACCTTTGTCAGCAGCCTTTGTGGCAGCCTTTGCGGCAGCCTTTGGAACCTTCTTCTGTTTTTCCTCTTCTGGTTCTGCCTCGTCCTCGGTTTGGTCTTCGGCTTGTGTTTCCTTCGCATCTGCATTGTCTCCACTATCCTTTCTCTTGTCTCCCTTCACCTTTTCCTGTTCTACATTATCCTTTTCCTTGTCTTGACGTTCTTCCACCTCTTCTTTTTTGCTCTCATCACCATTCTCTCCTTCTCGGGTGTCGCCCTCTTCCTTTTCAACCATGGCTCTCACACTTTCTGGCCCTACCTTTTGGGTTATACTGAGAGCCAAGCTTAGCGAGGC